CTCCCACTTTATCCAAGATCTCCAGATTTGATCCTTTCTTGAGTGGTTGGCATTGGTAGCTGGGCACCATCTAGTTCTTCTGGTCTTGAGGGCCATCGTGTCCTAGGGCTGATTGTTTCTAAATGTCCCCCCTTTTCTTGCATTCTTGTGTTTTTCTTCACTTCCGATGCTAGGAGACCATTAGCTGCATCTTAGATGGCCGCTTGAAAGCTTTTAAGACCCCAGTCGCTGCTCACCAATGTAGGATGTGGAACAATGCTTTTATTTTGTTGTGCCAATTGAGTCTGGCATCCCCCAGTACTATGGTCCTGAAGCAGTAGATCTATTGGATCTCTCTCCCATAATGTCTGGTTGTGTATGAGGGATTACTCTATGTCTGTCTTCTATTGTTTCTGTAAGGACTGCAGGTATTTCTTTTATCACTGGTGTCTGTACAAGATCAGCCTCAGCTGCATCTGTCCTTGTCTAGAGTATTCTTCTGTTCACTGACTCGCATCTGATCATCTCAGGTGTTTATGTGTTTATCTGTATAGCCTAGTGTTTGGTGTTAATGGCAATGTGGTATTGTGGACACATTGGTTGGTATTAGCATCTGTCATCTATCTCTTATGTGCACAATTCAGTGTCCTCCCATTTCCTAATGTTATTATGGTGGTCATGTATACTTCCCATATATCCCTCACCCTACCCATGTCAGCATGTAGGCCCCAACTAGCCCGAAATCAATCCCTCCCCATCCCGGTAACCTACTAGGTGAGTTCCCTTTCCCAAGCAAACTCTTCTCTATCTTTTTACAGTAATGGGCTCATATAGTATTATTGTTGATTTCTAATTTGATAGCATTGTGATCTGAGAATACGCTTTGTAATATTTCAGTATTTTTAAATTTTTTAAGGCTTGCTTTGTGGCTTAACATATGGTCTATCCTGGAGAATGTTCTATGTGCCCTGGAAAAGAATGTATATTGTGCTCTTTTTGCATGCTTGATAGATATCTATAAGGTCAAGTTTGTGAATTGTATTGTTTAGTTCTTCTGCCTCTTTGTTAAGTTTATTTCCAGTTGTTCTGCCTATCATCAAAAGTGGTGTATTAAAATCACCTACCATTACTGGACTATATGAAGCTGGACTATATGAAGAAAAACATGACATCAGGATTGGAGATAGAATCATTAACAACCTGAGATA